CCGCCTCCCATTGGCTGGACCGATCGGGGGGGTTGCTTCTGATTGGCTGCGGGTGCGGCCATTGGCTGACTTCGTGGCCATCGGGAGAGGGATTGGCCGCGCTGGGGTGGGCGGGGCCGGGTTGCTGGGGAATAGGCTTCTCCGCCCATTGCAAATTGAGATGTCTGAGTTGCAGGTTCCTGTCCCTGCGACCTGGGAGGCTTGCAGCTGGGTGGACGGCGGTGTTCCAGCGGGCTCAGGGAGGTGGGCTTCCTAAGCTGCAGCTGACGTGCAGACGAGCAAGGGACCCCGTCACAGATTATCACCTGGTCACTGACCAGTATCCTCCCCATCGTTTTGTTGGTAGGCCGCCTGGTTTCGTGTACCCTTTGATAACTACATCTCTTATAACTACATTGCCAGCTGAAGTACCCTTTAGGACAGCTTTATGTTAATTCCTTTTTGTTATCAGCTTCCTAATTAATCGGTCTGTGTAACTTTTGCATTTTCTTTCCCTTTTTTTTGTAAAACACGGTTCATAAAAAATAAAGCTATGCACCATTAGTTTTTCACCATTTCTTCATAGACCACTAATTTTTGTTTTTTTATTTTTCTTATTATTTTTTGTGTCATTACTGTAACTTTCAAAAATTAATGTCATTTAATGTTTACACAGTTGACATTAAGGAGATGCTTTCAATAGATTTTTCTGATGCGCAGTGTCTCAGGGAGCGGTTTCAATGGGAGGTAACTGTTGCAGTCCTGCCTGCGTTGTCGCAGTTTCAATTTTATTCCAGTAGTAAAATTGTTTTTTTTCTGATTCATCGCCATCATTTAAAAATTTGCAGTGCGTTCTACCAGACATTACTCTCCAGTATACCCCCCCACCCCGTACTAGATAAATCTGACAAAATGAACATTCCAGCCGAAGCCACCAAGCACTGGTAACTGTCAGATCTTTTCTGCTATCTAGGGCTTTCTCTTGAGCTAGAGACTCAAATATCAGTCTGTAGTCAGGTCTTTTCTGGCTGCAGATCCAGACTTCACCTATGTGGAGGCCTTCCCAACATCTGTTTCCCACTATGTGCTCTAAAGAAGGATTCTAAAGCTGGGAGCCGTCCAGCTAGGTGGAGATTCCACGTACCTCAGCTCCAGAATCGGGCTTCTGATTACCTCCAGCCAGCCAGTGAAGCCTGTACTCCCATGATTGCTTCAGGAAAGGGCTTCGGCTGTCATATGTACCAGGGGAAAGAGGGGCTTAGAAACCTCTGTCCTCCATCTGACCACAAAGGGAAGTCAGCCTTGGATGAAAGCAGAGATGGAAGGAGTTGGGTACCTGATGACTTTGTTGGCCACCAAATCACCTAACATGAAGACCCTCCAACTTCTGGACTGTTTGGTTTCCTCAACCAGCCAATTGCCCTTTATTGTTGGATGTTTGAGGCGGGTTTTCTGTTCCAAGGCCTCTTAACTGATGCCTCGTGCTCTTTCATCCCACTGAGTTCATGAATCGGTAAGCATCTCAGATCCCTTCTGTCCACCTCGATTGCCATGTTTAGTTTGAGCCACCCTCTTCTGGGCTTGGCACCAGCCTCCCGAGGGGAGCCTTCCAGCCTTCCTTGCTGTAGTTAAATATGCTCTCTGAGGTAGTGCTTTTCCGAGTGTTGGCCCTGACTCAGCAAGTAGTGATCCATTAGTGGGTTGTGAAATCAGTTTTGTGTGTCATGAGCCATAATTTATTTTTTTAGCAAAATGGCATAGAAAACAATAGACTACCTGAAAATACTAGAGTGCATGAATGTAGCAGAGTTTTTCCTGGAAATTTTTTGAGTTATGTTTGTCCTGGATCATGCTATGAAATGGGGTATTACAGTAGGAGCCAGGCAGAAAGTCTTGAAACCTTTGAATTCAAAGGACACATCTGACTGCACTGCCATCCTGTTTAAAAATGTCTTGCATTTTCTGTCTTTAATGTGGCATTCAAGGTCCCTCCTGCCTTGTCCCGTCTGTCTGTCATCCTTCCCTCTGTTCCCACCTACCCACCACTGCGTGGCCCAGTGTTTCTCACAGTCTGGTCCAAATTTCAGCAGCATCAGCATCATTGGGGAACATGGTAGGAATGCACATTCTCAGGCCCACCCTCTCCGGACCTGCTGGATCAGAAGCTCTCGGATGGGATGCAGGAAGCTGTGTGCTACCACACCCTCCATGTGATTCTGAGTCGAGATAAAATCTGTACCCATCACTTAGTCAATCTAAAAAGTCATTTAAAGCAAGAGAGCCCCCAATTTTTTTTAATCCACTCAGCTTAAAGATTGTGTTTTGACCTAATGCATTATACATATCCACTCACCGTCCTCTGACAGGTGACGGTCATGACCACCCACTCACTACCTTTGTAGGCCAGCTGAGGCGGTGCTCTGGTGGTGCCCAGTGCCTGGCTGTGCCTCCCAGTTTCCCTTCCTTTCCTCACATGAACTTAAAAGCACTTCAAAAGCAATCTGCAGTGGAATCCTTTTGGAACTTTTTCAAAGATTTTCCCCCCAGTCTTTTACAGTGTCTCTCATGCATCCAATTTGGTTGCAATTTTTAAGTGACTTCTGTTGACTTTTCAAAGCCTTCAACTGAATTTTGATAGAAATGTCACTCTTCTTTCCAAAGCACACTTCATCAGCCATATTTCATTAAACTTCATAACCATAATAGCAGGTTCAGCCAGAATTTTGAGATTTGCAAACACCATGACTGGTAATACGAGCAGCTAACTTGCTGAAAGCCAGTCATCCTAAAGAGATCAGTTTGCTAAATAACTGTTTTGCTGAATTTAACAAGCTTACCATTCATTGAAAACTTTAAAAATGAATATTCTTGAATATTGGCAATACATATTAACATTTTTCTTATGAAAACATTCTTTTTGGAGATGGTCTTTAGTGTCATTGTAGGACTTGTATCAGTTTTTGGAAATAGGGCTTTCTTATCTTTGTATGCCTTTTTTAAAAAAAATCAGTGCATATATTCTTAGGAACATAAGCAAAATTTCAGCATTTCATATTGCATTTTTTTCCAGTTTATAGAAGTTTCCAGAACACGTTTCCTTTTTTGGCCACATTTTGGTGCTTAGAATTGTTTTGCCTGTCTCACCAAATCGTCAGATTTGTCAAATTTGCTGAAAGTAGTTGAGCAGCTGTTTAGTCTTTCATGTTGGGTGGCTTGTTGGTTTCCTAGAGTCGCTGTAACAGAGCATCACAACAGACTTGCTGGCTTGGAACCACAGGAGTTTATTCTTCCTTCCATGTTTGTGTCTCCAGATCTCCCTCTCCTTTTAAGGACAGTAGGTTTTTGGTTTGGAGCACACCCTAATCCAGTATGACCTCTTCACTTGATCATATCTGCAAAGACACTATTTCCAAGTAAGATCACTCACAGATACCAAGCGTCATGACTTAAGCTTATCTTTCAGGAAGACACCCCTCAGCCCACGTCAGGTGGTGGTGTGGTTTAATGAAAAGTTTTAGTTGACTGTTTTTTATCTTTTCACAAATGAATTTTTAAGGGAGCTCAGTTTGTCTCTGCTCAGCTTCCCAAGCTGCAAAGGAGAAGACCTGCAGGGGAAGGAAAAGAGGTAGAGGGGGTACCCAGGAACCCAGGGGGGCGGGGCTGAGAGGAGAGCAAGGGAGAAGAAAGATGTGAATGGGGCAAGTTGCAGGGTGGAGGAAACGCCCCTGGAACCTGGGAACCCCGGCACGGCTGCAGTAGCCCTGCCACCCCAGCCGGCAGGGGAGGGCCTGGGCGTCAGCTTTTCTTACCCTTTCCTCTTTTCTAAGGGGCGGTCTCGGTGGAGAGCCCCAACCCCTGTGCCTCCAGGGAGCCCCAGCTGCTTCAGGGGCGGAAGGCCCTTGTGCTGCTTCCCACCCTGCGTCTTCGCGCATGCCGGCCCCGGAAATGTGCTCTTTTCTGTTTCGAGAGCTCGCACTCATCCTCCGAAACCCTGCGTAGGAATCGTCTCCCCATGAGGCTTCCCCAGTGACCCCCCAGGCCAGACAGCGAACCCCTCCCTCCCAGTGACCCCGGGCTCCCCCCTCATCCTGCTGCCCCACCAGACCGGGAGCTCCCGCGCTGAGCCTCCCACAAACATACACTGAACGAACAAAACCCGGCTCGGTCAGATACTGGCCGTACCTCACCCATCGCGTGACCGTGGGCAGGGCAGCTCTCTTCCTCGTGCCTCAGTTTCCTCAGGTGTCTCACGGGCCCCCCGCGCCCTTCACGGGGTCGTTGGGGGCTTTTAGCGCTATGTCCCCCGGGCGGGGAACTGGACCCAGAGGCTGACCCGCCGTCCTCGGCTTGATTTCCAGATCGGTGTCCGAGGCGGATCCGGCCGGCTGGGGCTCCGCAAGCCAGGTGCGAGGGTCCCGGCGGGGCACCGGCTGGGGCAGGGGGCGGGGACCACCGCCTGGGGGCCCTGTGAGGTCACAGAGGGAAGCCCCGGCCCGACCTGGGATTCCAGGGGGTGTGGCCGTGGGCGTGACCAGGCCTGAGCAGGGCTGGGCCGGCCGCGGA